ATGATACTCTATATGGAAAACCCTAACGATTCCAAAAAAAAAAAAAAAAAAAAAAAACTGCTAGAACTGATTCATGAATTCAGCAAAGTTGCAGGATATAAAATCAATGCAGAGAAATCAGTTGCATTCCTATACACCAACAATGAAGCGACAGAGAAATCAAGGAATTGATCCCAGTTCCAACTGCACCAACACCCATAAAATACCTAGGAATAAATCTAACCAAGGACGTGAAAAATCTATACAATGAAAACTATAGAAAGATTATGAAAGAGATTGGATAAGACACAAAAAATGGAAAAAGATTCCATGCTCCTGGATAGGAAAAACATATTGTGAAAATGTCGATACTACCCAAAGCAATTTACATATTCAATGCAATCCCTATCAAAATAACACCAGAATTCTTCACAGAGCTAGAACAAATAATCCTAAAATTTGTATGGAACCAGAAAAGACCCCGAATAGCCAAAGCAATCTTGAAAAAGAAAACCAAAGCAGGAGGCGCCACAATCCAGGACTTCAAACTACAACAAAGAGGTAATCATCCAGAGAGTATGGTACTGGCACAAGAACAGACACTCAGATCAATGGAACAGAATAGAGAACCCAGAAATGGACCCACAAACGTATGGCCAACTAATCTTTGACAAAGCAGAAAAGAATATCCAATGGAGTAAAGACAGTCTTTCAGCAACTGGTGCTGAGAAAACTGGACAGCGACATGCAGAAGAATGAACCTGAACCACTTTCTTACACCAAACACAAAAATAAACTCAAAATGGATGAAAGACCTCAATGTAAGACAGGAAGCCATCAAAACCCTTGAAGAGGGTTTTGACTTGGCCGCAGCACCTTCTTACTCAACACACCTCTGGAGGCAAGGGAAACATAGCCAAAATGAACTACTGGGACCTCATTAAAATAAAAAGCTTCTGCAAAGCGAAAGAAACAATCAGCAAAACTAAAAGACAACTGACAGAATAGGAGAAGATATTTGCAAATGACATATCAGATAAAGGGTTAGTATCCAAAATCTATAAAGAACTTATGAAACTCAACACCCAAAAAACAAACCATCCAGTGAAGAAATGGGCAAAAGACATGAATAGACACTTCTCCAAGGAAGACATCCATATGGCCAATGGACACATGAAAAAATGCTCCACATCACTCATCATCAGGGAAATACAAATCAAAACCACAATGAGATACCACCTCACACTTGTCAGAATGGCGAACATTAACAACTCAGGCAACAACAGATGTTGGCTAGGATGCAGAGAAAGAGGATGTCTTTTGCATTGTTGGTGGGAATGCAAGTTGGTGCAGCCACTCTGGAAAACAGTATGGAGGTTCCTCAAAAAACTAAAAATAGAACTACCCTGCAACCCAGCAATTGCACTACTAGGCATTTATCCACAGGATACAGGTGTGCTGTTTCGAAGGGACACATGCACCCCCATGTTTATAGCAGCACTATCAACAATACCCAAAGTATGGAAAGAGCCCAAATGTCCACCAATGGATGAATGGATAAAGAAGATGTGGTATATATATACAATGGAGTAATCCTTGGCAATCAAAAAGAATGAAATCTTGCCATTTGCAACTACGTGGATGGAACTGGAGGGTATTATGCTAAGTGAAATTAGTCAGAGAAAGACAAATATCATATGACTTCACTCATATGAGGACTTTAAGAGACAAAACAGATGAACATAAGGGAAGGGAAACAAAAATAATATAAAAACAGGGAGGGGGACAAAGCATAAGAGACTCATAAAAATGGAGAACAAATAGAGTTACTAGAGGAGGTGTGGGAGGCGGGATGTGCTAAATGGGTAATGGGCACTAAGGAATCTACTCCTGAAATCATTGTTGCACTATATGCTAATTTGGATGTAAATTTTTTTTATTTTTTTTTCAACGTTTTTATTTATTTTTGGGACAGAGAGAGACAGAGCATGAACGGGGGAGGGGCAGAGAGAGAGGGAGACACAGAATCGGAAACAGGCTCCAGGCTCCGAGCCATCAGCCCAGAGCCCGACGCGGGGCTCGAACTCACGGACCGCGAGATCGTGAGGTGGCTGAAGTTGGACGCTTAACCGACTGCGCCACCCAGGCGCCCCTTGGGTGTAAATTTTTAAAAATTTAAAAGAAAAATAAATAATGCTCACAACTAAAAAAAAAAGAATAAATTATTGATGATTTGGGTGTAGATCATTTACATAAAAAAAGAAAAGTACATAATTGTAATTAAACCAAAATCAAAAAGAATGAAGTGGACTTATAAGAGTAACAGGGATAGTTGTTCATGATTTACTGTTGAGTGAAAACAAAGAATAACATCAGATTTATGATCCACTATATTTATAAAATTCAATCCATTCATCTTTCCATAGGTGAACATATAAGCATATTTAAGTATTCCTAAGATTAATTAGAAAGACATATTTTAAACACACTGGAGCTTTCATTTTTCTAAAGAGAAAAGAAATAGGAGTGAAGTTGAGGTATTCAGGGACAGGGAAATAAAAATAGAGTAAAAGAAGACCTTTAAAGAAACTGATGCTGACAGCACAGCCCAGGGAACACGGTCAATGCTACTGTACTTGTGTTATATGGTGATGGATGGTAGCTATACCTGTGGTGAGTGCAGTATAACCTAACTGTATACACTTGTCGAATCACCATGTTGTACACCTGAAACTAACGCAACGTTGTGTGTCAACTACAATCAAGTTTTTAAACTGAAACGTAAGAAAGAAAAAACGAACTGATGATGCTTGCTCCCATAATCTGAGGATGGGAATAATTCACGAGGCTCAAAATGAAATAGAAACGACTCCTGTTTCCTAGTATACAGTTGTATACACATCCCATTTGAAAAATCTTCCATTACAGCAAAAATCATGATAGGACTCTCTCTTTTAAAAACACATTGCATTTTCTTAGGAATATTTTTTCCAAGTTACTCTTGCATTCTTATTATAACGCCATGATGAAAGTCATTATAAATTTACATCAGTCCATTTAATAGCATGGTTTGGGAGGCACCTATCTGACAATGGGCTGCAGGAAGCCCACTGGAACTTCTGAGTGAGATTATTAGACCCATGCAGGACACCCAGTGTGCCTGTGCAAACGAGTGTGAACGTGGATGGATGGATGGATGGATGGATGGATGGATGGATATAAGACCCCGAGTCCCAGGAGACTAACTGCCTACAGGATGCAGTCAATGTTGGGCTGGATTACCAGAGCTCCTTTGTTTTAGAGAGAAAGAAAAACATTTTCTTCTCCTACCTGCCTGCTTGTCTCCCAGGAGGGCCTTTTAAGCACAGGGAAATGGGGATGGAGAAGTTCCCTGAGGGCAAAGTCCCTGATGCTCTGGAGTTATAACTACACCCAGCTATTTCAGGAACTAGCCGGAACTCCAATATCAGTGGAGCCAGACCCCTGCTCACATCCTCTGTAAGTGAGTCTGGATAGAGGGTGCCTGAGGGGCAGCTATACCAGGAGTAGGCAGAACACTGGGCATGGTGGGGGGAGACATTTCTCTTTAGTCCAGATCTGTGCTCCGTTCCATTCCTGAGTCACTACTGTAAAACTAGTGCGAAAACAGGATAGGAGAGACCGCATGCTGTCTCAGATCAGGAGGCACGTGTGAGAAACTGTACTCTGGAACCTTCCCTTTTGCTGTTCTCTTGCCTTTTTACGTATTTTTCTGGATGTTGCCAGAGATGCAGAGGGGCAGGAATTTGTCCATAGGAGATGAATGGGGATGGGGGTAGGAAGCCTGGAGAGTGCATCATCTGGCGCTTACTTTAGATGATTCGGAGTTTTCAACTGTACACGCTAAAATGTAGTGGCTTTATGGCAAACAATCTGCCCACAAATGCTTGAATCATGGGGGAGGAATTAAATTTAATCTAAATAACATTAGAGGTTGAAGACAGAGACCACAACTGGGGTCAGTGGGAGTAAGACAGTGGTTCCTCAGTTTAAGCTCAATCTAAAGAATCTCTAAAGCTATGCTGTAAAAACAGAGAATTATGCCCAGATGATCACTGAGGTGTCTGTCACTGAATGCACACAATAATGTCCTAAACAATGTTTAGGAGAGATGTTTAAAGTTCTGTGAGAGTCACTGGAGTTCGGTGGTCCCTACAATAAAAATTAATAATAATAATAATAATAGAAAACAACAATAATAGACACAACATGAAAAGAAACTAAGAAGAAAATTATACTCAGAGAAGTGGAAGCAGGAGTCAGAGTGTAAGTGCAAAAGAAATATTCCAGATTTCTGGAAACCTGCCCAAGGATTACATGTGCATGGGGGTGCATGAGAGACAGTCATGTATCTGAGACCTTACTTGGCTCAGGTTTTGCTACTTAATCAGGGCATATTGTGTATTTATATGTCATATGATAGTCTATGCGGTCAAAAAAAAAATAAGGAAGAAACTTACAAGTACAAATTTAGACACTCAGCTAAAACAAATGACTTCCTAAGCAATTTTCCCTTTCTTTATGTTTCTGCAAACAAATGACTTTCTATTTAAAAGAAAATCAGGGGTGCCTGGGTGGCTCAGTCGGTTGGGTTCGAGCCCTGTATTGGGGTCTGTGCTGATGGCTCAGAGCCTGGAGTCTGCTTTGGATACTGTGTCTCCCTCTCTCTCTGCCTCTCCCTTTCTCATGCTCTCTCTGTCTCCAAAATAGACATTAAAAAAATTTTTTTAAGAAAAAATCAAACACGTATAAATGAACCATATTATCACAGTCATCTATTATTTAGTGCTAGAATTTTCTGAGTAACATACCATGAAGGATGTACAGATGATATCAAATGGATCTCTATGACCTGCTAGGAATCACAAGTTTCACCTAGATGAAGCAAATTGTTCTAAATTCATGTGTCTTAAGTCAGTAGCTAATTTTTATCCTAATTTTATAGGTCACTAAAAGAAAGCTATAGAAATATATGACAAAATATGACAGCACATCAAAATGGCACCATCTCCTTTGAGATTTCAGACTTCCTCCTGAATTGTTTTGTCAGGTCCCCCAGCTGGAAGCTCTGGTTGTCCCTGCCACTCAGCCTCCTCTTTCTCCTGGCCATGGGAGCCAATAGTGTTCTCCTGATCACCATCTGGCTGGAAGCCTCTCTGCATGAACCCATGTATTACCTGCTCAGTTTCCTGTCACTATTGGATATCGTGCTCTGCCTCACTGTCATCCCCAAGGTCCTGGCCATCTTCTGGTTTGACCTCAAGTCCATAAGCTTCTATGCCTGCTTCCTCCAGATGTACATCATGAATTGCTTCCTTGGCATGGAGTCCTGCACATTCATGGTCATGGCCTATGACCGCTATGTAGCCATCTGCCACCCACTGAGGTATCCATCCATCATCACTGA